AGAGTCTGTAAAGCAGCTGCGATCTGTTGTGGGGCTCCTGGATGGAGAGCTCCCGGAAACAAGTGGTCCTGGAGTTGAGGTTGATAGCGCGCCTCTGCCGTCATCTCCTTGCCGAAACATTTCCGCTGCACTGCACGAGATTTCTGCCCGTGTTGATCACGTGGAGAGTGCAGCATTGGCCCGGCAAGATCGACTGGAGCAGCTGACAGGCTGGGCAGGGCCAAATTGCAGTCACCGTCAACTTTGAAGATTCTCGGTAAGTTGAGGCCTGCAGTGGAACATCTGCGTGTAAGATGTGAGCTTCAACCTTCGAGTCAGGTGACATGGAGAGCATTGCAGCAGAGGTGCAGCTGCTGGAAGCAATTACCGGCAAGCCCGGAAGCCCTGACTACAAGTCTGGTTGTCATGAGGCATCTGCGCAGCCGCTGACGACTGCTGTTGCAGATATCGTGTCTCGTGTGGCTCAAGTCGAGCAAGAGACTTCAACGAGGCGCATGCGAATGCAAGAAATCTACAGCTGTGTTCAAGAGCTTCAAGCTCAAATTGAGAAGCTCGAAGCTAATATCATGTCTCCTGCTTGTCTCGGAAGCTTTTCATCTTTTTTTATGTAACGGCACGAGGCGTAAGCGAAGAACGGCTCTGAAGGGTGATTATTGAACTCAGGCAGCCTGCGTGGAGACCGCAAACATCTTTTTCCGAGGTGGACTCTTTGCTGCTTTCGCCGTCCGTGGCACCTACAGTTGCTGCAGACACGGTGCATGACTTGCAGACGCAACTGGCTTGGCCTGGCCTGTGTTTTCTTTCGTGTTTGAGTTGAATTCAACGTTGGGCGTGTTGGGTCTGCAGCCGGCATAAGGCAGGTCGGCGAGCTTGAAGTCGCGAGCTCTTTCCGGCATCAGAGTATCTGAACTGAACTGTGCGCAGGTAGAACCAAGATCGGCAAACTCAGCTTTCAGCTTGTGTGAGTGTGTGTGCTTGTTTCTCGAATTCCAAGGAGTGCATGACCTTGCTTCTGCCATGGATGAGCTGCGCACACAGCTGCAGGAGGCACACCAGCTTGCAACATAACACGCTTGACTCGTATCGTCAAACATCGGGGATCACGACCGTCTTCAAGGCTTCTACAAACATCATCGAAAGCCGCACCATGATCCACGCGGTGCTTCTGAGTTCTGGAATCTTTGCTGTTTCGCAGGTTCTCGACAGAATAGGGCACCGAAAAGTTTGAACAAGCACGATGGAGAAGAGATGAAGAAAGCGTGCGCACAGCTTCGCATTTGCCTGCACCAGGTGTGCGAAAAGGCTTCGGCGGTGGAGCTCGAAGGACGCAGGCTGACCTCAGAAGTGGAGGACGTGAGACTCTGCGTGGCTGGGCACAGACCTCACATTGGGCGTTGCTGCCAGAACATGTCAACGGAACCAAGGTGGACAGACTGGAGCATCAAAGGCAGCAGGCCGCAAGCGGGCAGAGCGTCGAGGCTGGACCGCTGGTGTTGGACGCTGCTGCCAAATCCTGGATGGATCGTCAGGCGCTCGTGGCAAGACTTGCGAGCATCTGTTGTTTTGGGACTGTTTATCAAAGGATATCAAAGTACTACAAGCTAGTCAAGTCTCATGACCTAGAGAACACCAAGAGGATGAGAATACCCGAGGTCGCCCACGTTCTAGATAGAGCTGCGGACAATTTCGTCTCTCTGCTGGAGCACCTGGGCATGCAAACGCCACGAATTAGTGGCACAACTTGAAGTGTCCGTGTCCGGGTTTCGCCTGGCTCTGAGACTCGATGCCTAGAAACAGCGGTAGGTTGGTTCGAATGACGCGAGTTCAGGACGACGAACCGCCGCCTGGATGCTGCGATCACCAAGCAAGAGAGCGTAAACGAGGATTGTTGGGCAAAGCGTTCGGTTACGACGGAGTGGAGAAAGCTGTGAAGCTCGAAAGCTGGAAAACAGGAGCTGCAGCACAGCACATCGAAAGGCTCGACCTGAAGTCTCCTCGTGGGAAGCGGTGTCGCACCGGTTGAGCAAGGTCCAGCAAATGACGATGTGGTGCAGCTTCTCCACAGCCTGAGGCACACGCATTGCAGAGCCTTTACAGTAACCCTTGCGCTTGGAAGTGACACTTTCGACTTGCAGGCAAGAGCATCGCCTTGAAGCAGCTGCGCTCTGGGACGGCCAGGGCCACGTTGAATTGCAGCGCTGTGGAGTCAGGGTTACCGGGTCCAACCCAAGGCTTGGCAGACCTTGCAGACCACCTCGGTGCAGATGCCGGACGCTTCTTGCAGGCAGGGTCACACGTCGGCTTATTGAGTTGTCAGAGGCGGGGACAGTGACATCGCCCCTGCTACAAGCAGGATGCCGAATTGACAACAAGATAATAACATGAGTGACCTCGAGCCCACAGGTTTCATTAGAACCCCAAAGGCCCGATGATTGCATTTTTGCAGGATGTAAGACCTATCCGACCTATCCACCCTGCCACCCGCCCACCCATGCACGCATCAAAGGGTCTAGCCCACGAGATGCGACACACTTTTGACCGACAAAAAACAAGTAAAAACTGAGTGGTGCCAGGGGTTGTTCTCGGAAGCACGTGTGCATGTGTTACAGAAAAAAGAGGGAGAGACAGAAAGACTGCTCGTGTCCCATACCCCCTTAGCAAAGCAGAGAGAGAGAGAGAGAGAGAGAGAGAGAGAGAGCGAGAGTAGCTATAGCTGTGCCATTGTTTCATGACATCCGTAGGGAGACCATGAACATGCAGGTACGTCTGGAATGTCAACTAAGGACCACATCTCTTGCTGTTATTTTTCCCCCTCCGTTCGGGCCCCTCCTTTTCCCGTAATGTTGTTTCTCCCGGCCGTCCAGACACAAAAACCCCAGAAGTGACATAACATGTTTGTGATTTTGGCCTGATCCTCAGAGTGCTTAGTTGCTGCTGCGCTTCGCATATTCTGTCACTCCGGGAAAGTTTCCCTTCTCCTACAGAAGCAAGTATCCTTGCAGAGGATGTACCGGGAGGACTCGCTTCTAATTGTACCGGGGTTTTAACTGTTACTTGCCAAACTCCTCCGATACAGACGATCTGCAGTGCCGTGTTGAAATCGGCTGGGAAGGTGTCGTACTTGTTCATTCTAGCACCCCGGGATTGAAATCAAAACCAGCAGATTACAATGGGTGTCCCGAGGTAGTACTGAGCTTCGAACCGGGGGACATACAGAAATCAGACTCCGGTTTGAAAGCTAGCCTTTTCACAACCCCCTGAAAACCCCATGAAATTTGGGGG